AATAATTTCCATATTTTAATTTATGTATCTATAATTATAGTGTACATGTAGTATTTTTGGCACTGTAAAAAGGCAGTTTCTTCTCTTTTCTTCCCATATTTATTGTAATTTTTTTTTAAGCTGAGCCATCCTGCCACCTGTTGGCAGCTCAGCAGCAGCTCATCTCGGGCTGGGACTCCAACAGCTGTTGCTCAGAGCTCGCGCTCTTGAGTGAGCTCTTGACCAACTGAGCCACTAGGCCCGCCCTAAAAATTTTTTTAAAGATTTTATTGGGGAATTGGAGGAGGGGAACAGTGTTGGAGATTGGGAAAGGGGACCAGCTAAGTTGTTCTTCAGTCGTCGTTGTGGAGGGCGCCAGTCGCTATCTGGCTGCCGGTCGGCAGCAGGTGGCCTCTAAGCTTAAGGTGCTGTGTTCAATCTTAGTTGTGGGTGGGCATAGCCACCATCCCATGCGGGAGTTGAACCTGGCAGCCTTGTTGTTAAGAGTGCACACTCTATCCACTGAACCATCTGGTCGGCAGCTCAGCAACAGCTCAGCTCAGGTGCAGCATCACTGGCCCATGTGGCCCTGTTGCTCAGAGCTTGCGGTCTTTTAAGTAAACTTTTAACCAACTGAGCCACTTGGCCGGCCCAGTGTCATAGTTTTCTGAGTATAGGTCTTTTAACTCCTTGGTTAAATTTATTCCTAGGTATTTTATCTTTTTTGATGCATTTATAAGTGGGATTGCTTTCTATTCATTTATTTTTTTAAAAGATTTTTATTGGGGAATTGGGGGAAGGGAAACAGTCAAGTTGCTGTCATTTTGTTCTTCAGTCTAGTTGTAGAGGACATTGCTTCACTGGCCCAAGTTGGCACCATCATTGCACTCTTCCCAGGCAAGGCAGATCAGTCGCTGGCTTCTGGACAGCCGCTCACTGTGGCTGCTGGCCGCTTTCGTTGGCTGCTGACTACACACGGTAGCCCATGGCAACCCACTGCCACAGGGGCTGCAGCCTATGCCGTCGCCGGGGACTCATGGCAGCCCAGCTCCAGGTTGAGCTGTTGTTCAGCATCTTAGCTGTAGAGGGCAGTGTCACTGGCCCTCATATGTGGGATCCAAACCGGGGTCCTCTTGCGTCCCAAGCCAGTTATTAACTATCGCGCCACTCGGCTGACCCTCTATTCATTTATTTATTTGGGGGAACAGTGTATTTTTCCAGGACCCATCAGCTCCAAGTCAAATAGTTGTTTCAGGCTAGTTGTGGAAGGAACAACTCAGTGGCCCATGCAGGGATCGAACCAGCAAGCTTGGTGTTATGAGCACTGCATTCTAACCAACTGAGCTAACCGGCTGCTCCAAGGGATTGCTTTCTTAATTCCTTTCTGTGAGGTCACTATTGGTGTATAAAAATGCAATCCATTTCTGAATATTAATTTTGTGTTTTTACTTTACTGATTCATTTATTAGTTCTAATAGTTTTTGTGGATTCTTTTTATAGTGCAAAGAAAGTTTTATTTTATTTATCACTAGCCATGAATTTTTGTCATTAGTTATTGCATAAATTCTGCCACTATGCAAGTGGCATGACTATTTTATGTCCATGATTCACTTCTGTATTTATAGAATTTTCATGATTTACATAAGTACATCTATCAGTGATGGTTTAACATTGAGATGCAGTCTAGCACCAATGATATCTGATGTCTTGCAGGTAGCAATGTCGAAGAGATGTATTTTTAATCATCTTTTCATTTGAGTCACCTTAAGTGAAAAAATCAATAATTTAGATGTTCTAAGTCACTAAAAGAGATTTTCCAGTGCACTCATAGAAATGTTTACAGACAGTAAGATTTTCAAAAACAACTTGTGTGTCCACATCCTGTTGTAATTTCTGTACCGTTTTGTTTTCCAACTGCTTTTCTTTGCATGAAAAGTGGCCTGGATGAGATGAATGTTTTGCTTGACGTCTTTGATGTCCTGAACTTTCTGTAATTCTTTATTTTTCTACAACCTGTTCATTATAAATTTAGCTTGACGTTTCTGTTTGATCTCTTCGACTCTCTTCGTTACATCGATAGATTTTTTTCCACAGCTCTCGCTGGTACTTGACAGGTTCATTTCTACATTTTTCAAATTCACATAAGTTATCCACTGTAGGGCTGGACGAGTGGTTCAGTTGATTAAGAACGCAAGCTCTGAGTAACAGGGTTGGTGGTACAATTTCCACATGGGCCAGTGAGCTGCGCCCTAACTGAGCTTCCGCTGAGCTGGTGAGAGCGCGTGCTCTTAGCAGCAAGGTTGCCAGTTCCACACCTGTGTGGAATGGTCGGCTGCACCCTTCCCCTGCAACTAAGATTGAACATGGCGTGGCACCTTGCACTGAGCAGCAGCGAGCTGCCGACGGGCTGCTGGATGGCTCAGTGTGCAACAACGTTGCCGGTTCGATTCCCGCATGGTATAGTGGATTACGCACCTCCCCCCGCCCCGCAACTAGATTGAAAGCGGCGACTGGACTTGGAGCTGAGCTTGCGCCCTCCACAACTAAGACTGAAGGACAACAACTTGACTTAGAGCTGATGGGTCCTGGTAAAACACAATGTTCCCCTTCCCCAATTCCCCAACACTGTTCCCCCTCCCAATTCCCCAATAAAAATCTTAAAATTATATAAAAAAATTATCCACTGTAAGCTCTTTTTCAGCTGCTTTATGGAATGCTTTAGTCTACCTGATCTTGCAAGGATTGCACTTTTTAAAAGTTTTTATGACACTTGGATTTACAGAATTTGAACACCGCGCAATTGTTGCAGATGAACATCATGCTTTGGCTGGGGTATATGGGCCCCAAAGAGAAATAACACTTCTCGATATGCATGTTGAACACACATGGGGACCCACCATCCAAACGCTGATTTTGAAAGCTTTTTTGTGGCTTCTTTAGGGTTCTCTACATGTAGTATCATGTCATCTGCAAATAATGAGTTTTACTTCTTTCCAATTTGGATACCTTTTTAAAAAATTTTTTCTTGTCTGATTGCTATCGCTAGGACTTCCAGTACTATGTTGAATAAAAGTTGCAAGAATGGGCATCTTTGTCTTGTTTGCTATCTAGAAGAAAAGCTTTTAGCTTTTTACCTCTCGGTATGATGTTACCTGAGGGTTTGTCATATATGGCTTTTATTATGTTAAGGTATGTTCCTTCCACTCCCACTTTGCTGGGAATTTTGGTCATAAATGGATGCTGGATTTTGTCAAGAGCTTTTTCTGCATCTGATGATATGATCATACAATTTTTATCCTTCATTTTGTTTATATGATGTATCATGTTAATTGATTTGTGAATGTTGAACCAGCCTTGCATCCCAGGAATAAATTCCACTTGATCGTGGTGTGTGATCTTTTCAATGTATTGCTGAATTTGGTTTGCTAATTTTTGTTGAGTATTTTTGCATCTATATTCATCAGGAATATTGGCTTTTAATTTACTTTTTTGTAATGCTTTCTCTGGTTTTGTTATCAGGGTAATGCTGGCCTTGTAAAATGAATTTGGGAGCCTTCCATCTTCTTTAATTTTTGGAATAGTTTGGAGATTGGTATTAATTCTTACTTGAATGTTTGGTAAAATTCACCTGTGAAGCCATCTAGTCCAGGGCTTTTGTGTTGGGGTCTTTTGATTACTGGTTTGATTTCATTAGTAGTTATTGGTCTGTTCAGATTTTCTGTTTCTTCCTGATTCAGCCTTGGAAGATTGTATGTTTCTAGGAATTTATGCATTCCTTCCAGGTTGCATGACCACTATTTTTAACGGCTGAATAATATTTCATGTAGTGGATTTTTCATAATTCATCTATGTATTTCTTTGTTATTGCATATTTATATTGTTGCTAATTTTACACCATTGTAAATGATAAGAGGAACACTAATAAGTGCAAATATTATCCCCTGAACATTTTGGATTGTATCTATAGGATAGCCTCAGAAAATCAATTACTCTGTCAAAAGATACAAACATTTTTTGGCTTTTTTTACATGTTGTCAAATTGCTTTCTGAAATACCAAAAATGGCAGCTTCTTATGTTGTTTTACTCTGGATATTTCTTTTTCCCCCCCAAATACCATTTGTTCCTCTGGGAAATTTGGAGTCAAATATTAACTCCATGTGTTTTTGATGAAAACAAATTGAATACTACTTCATGTGAAAGTCATCATTAGGTCAACTGTGGCATGGGGATACTATGTGAGAGAGAAGGAGATGAGCATGAGAATTAGCCCCAGAATAGTTAGTGAAATTACAGCAATGCTAAGTAAATAGTCTGTTTAAAGGGAAGCGCATCAGAAAAATGTGGAACTGTAAGTGAGAACAGTGACACTGGAGAAAATAATTAAAACTAAAATACAATTGTGTACCTTCATTGTTTATAAAGGATGTTTTTTTTGGTTTATCCAGTTAGTACTCCTCTTAGTCATATTACTTCCAATACGTTTATTGGAAGATAATGGTATATAGCTTCTACTATAGTCACCATAGCACCCTGGGAGATTTTGGCCACAGCTATGCCATATTGATCTCAGGCAATAGTACTACTGAGGACAACTTATTTTCTTTAAAGGTCTCTTGCCAGAAATGAACCTGTCCCAAATTACACATTTTTGGTGTGTCTTCATTTTAATGTTTGAGACACTATGACTTTGATTTATTTTTACACCCAGCTGACTAGGTTCCACGTGATAAAAAGATAAATCCCCAAAGAAGCTGCTAAACACTTTGCCCCCCCAGTCTCTTGAGCAAACATAATTAAACAAATTTTATTATTTGAATATGTATTCTTTGTTTAGCACTTTGGCAGGTACTATATTGCTACATCAGTTGTATGAGACATGAACTTTGATATCAAGGAGCTTAGTTGGGAAATAAGAATACAACTCAGCAATTAAGGAATAAATGATACAAAGTAGCATAATTAATTGCTCAATTAAGGAAGAGGGAGATCAGTGTAGACTGCAGTGGTTGCTGAAAACTCCATGAAGTTCCTGGTAAGACTGAACTTGATTTGAGTTACATAAAGAGAATGGGGGAGGTGTACCAGGTGAAGCCACCAGTATGAATAAAAGTGCATAGATAGGAGTGAACACGTTGTGTTCATGGGACAGTGAGATCGTTACTCAACAGTGGGGAAGTTTGGGAGAGGAAAGGTAGAATGTGATTAGATTATGGAGGGCCTGTAAATTACCCGCAATAGTCACTAAGCATGAAACATGCAAGAAATAATGTATCTTTGGAGGTGGACAGCATTTTAACTGGCTAAGAAAATGTGTCTCTTCTCCAGGTTGAAGAAATGGCAGTGAACCTGTGGAATTGGGCAGTTACCAAGAGAATAGATTCGGTTATAAATGACGATGAGAAAGCTAAATGTACGTATATACTTTGTGATTCATATTGTGAGCAGTATTCTTATTATACATCAGATTGTGTTCTTGCAGTTTAAATAATATTTTGACCAGTTCTCACATAGAAATTTGTTAAAAGACGAGTAAGGAAAACAACCCATAAATAGTGGTTTCTCAAGCAAATAACCTCCCTCAGTTTTATGATTTTTCAGAAATTAGCTCCATGTTAATACAAGTTTAAAAGCATCACTGCATGAAATAGTCTGCTGCTGAACAACAAAGATAATTAAAGGATGGGGAAATGAAAACTTGAGGAAACGTTAAAGGACACGGATTATTTTCCCCGGAGAAGAGATGATCTGGATTCTGAGGGACCGTCAAGGAGTAGTTTCCTCTCTCCATTAATAATAGAAAAATGTTGCTATATGAGGGATTTAGATTTTAAAATCTGTAAAGAATAGTTTCCTCATGAGGTTGGTTGATGAACATTGGGCTGAGTTACTGAGAAAAATTAAAGAGAAAAATTAAAGAAGTTTTTTTTCTACCTGTGAGAGCAAACAAGAAGAATAACAAAACAAAACCCCCAAACCCCCAAATCTGCTTGGATACATTAAATGTGGTTCACTAGCAAAATTCCAGTGCTTTAGCTAAATGGACAGGGTCTATTGTGGTCACAGTTACTGATTTCCAGCAAGGATGGTGACAGTGAATGCAATTTTGGAAATTATATTGCCCAATTAATTATAAAGGATACATTGAGTCAACAAACCAAAAGGTGAATGTCTGATCTGCTTGGCTTTGTAAAGATGAATGAATTTTGCCTGTTAGACTCCAGAACAAAAATGCCAGGCAACATTATGCTTGAGAATCTGGGAAGGAATGGGTTACAGCTAAATGAACAAGAAAAACAGAATTCACAAATGCCAGAGGATACAACACTGTGTTGTCTAAAGTCAATTCAAGGATGAAGCTGTGGGCGCTGATGGAGCAGAGTAAGGCAGATGTAAGGAGTCCATCAGCAGGCACCTGACCAAGATGTTTATAACATAGGGGGCCCGAGAACAGGCTGGTGAGGAGACAAGAGCAGAGTGGCAGCCACAGAGGAAACATCTTGCTACTGGAGTAGCGTTCTGTCTTGCCCTCTGCTGCCTTTGGCCCCGAAGGCTTGTTGGTGATAACTATAAACAGCTGGATCAAGAATGTGGGGATGGGAGCAAAGTTCTTAGATGCAGACATTTCCCACAGAGGGACACTGCTCAAAGCTGAACCAGGATAGGGTGAGGCCAAAGAAGTAGTATTTTCCGAAAAGGTTATTATGATTGTTCTGAAATGTTGCTTTGAAGTCAGGGAAGGTGAGCTTTGGTAGTGCAGTTTTAGTAAAGTGATAAGGATGCAAAAACATTGCAGGGGCTTAAGGAGATGAGTGAGTAGCAAGACAGTGGGGTGGCAGATGGATCATTCAGTTCATGAAGTTTGGCAAAGAAAGGAAGGGGAGAATCAAGATGGAGGCTTGAAGCACAGTGGGGTTGATTTTTTTCCAAGGGAGGGAGATGAATGTGTTTGAAGGCAGAGGGAGAGCAGTAAATTGAGAGGGAGATACTGAAGGTATCTTTGGAGAAGGGAAATAATCGAGCCATCAGCATCTCTGAGAATACTGAAGAAATAGTAAACTTTGGAAAAAGTGAAGGAAACCTTTACAAACTGGAAATGCAAGACAATGTAAATATATGATTGCAAGTTGTTTTACCGAAAGTTTTTTTCCAGAAACAAATTACCTTTGGTAAGGGATGAATAGATTTTACATTTCATGATGGCTAATAAAAATCTGACTACATCAGTTATCCTATAATTTCAGCTGGGCAAATCTCTTTTCAATAGAATATTAATTAAAAATGGTATTGGCATAGGTGTTAGCAATGGCTGTTGAGATCTCACATCAAGGCAACTAGTTCAGTTATATGTGAACTCATCTTTTTAAAAAATTGGATATATTTTATGATGAAAGAAGCTACACAAAGAGGTTGCAATTATTCGAGCTTTACTATTTTCAGGGGAACTGAACTGTAATATCTGTATTTTCTAAGTCACACTTTAAGAACTTTTACGTCATCTACAGCAAAACATGTATTTAGAAAGTTTCAAATTAGGACAATAATCTAAAACTCTCATGATGTTCAGAAATTTTGTCAGATGTTGAATAGCTTTATATTCCAGTTAAGTTAGAATTATTTTGCTGCCAGCATGATTCATACAAGAGCATCACATGGCATCAGGCATCTTCGGTGAGTCTTTGGGGCTTAAGACCTGCAGAAATTAAAATTTGAAAATCAAGTATCTGTTTGACTGGAGCATTAAGCAAATAATTCATTTGATAAATTTCAGGTGATTTACTTTTGATAATTGGTGTTTTTTAAAGCCTTTAACACTCTTATTTTTAATAGCAAAACTTGTTTCACTTCACTCTTTTATCTTTATAGGTGTATGTGAAAAGAGAATGAATGTTTTGTGTTTATGATCTAATTACTGTTTTGCAGTACGGCATGTTGCTTGCAGGTTGGTGTGTATGTGTGAAAGCTCAACTGCTTCCGAAGAAGCTATTCGAAGACAGATTTTGGTAAGTCCTGATTAAGTGACGAGAAGGTACAGCTGCAGTGAGCTAGTGGTTAGTCCTATGAACGTGCTTGAAGTTAGTGTAAACCTGGAGGGGGGTTGTATCCTTTAGTGTTATCCCGGTTTCTTTCATGATAATTATATCTGTTATAGTGAAAGGTCTCAGCAGTATTATAGTTGTTATTACAGTGCACTAAATATTGAACTTCTAATTCAGGATTTATGAAAAGTAATGAAAGTAATAAAAGGTAATAGTTCCCTGCTCCATCCCCCTCGCCCTGTCTTGCTCCCTAGACGCAAGTATGTTTTTTTCAGTGGAAAATATTTTTCCAGTGTTTTAAAACAATAATTTATTGAAAATTTCAAATGTACACACAAAATAGATAAGATGGTACAATGATTCCCCCTGTTTACCCATCATTCGGCTAGTGTAACCATCAACCATGACACTCTTGTTTCTTTCTTCTGTATGTCCTCCAACAGCAACCCCCAAACCCCATGGATTATTTTGAGGCAAATCCAAAATATATCATTTTACTCATAAATATTTCAGTATGTGTCTCCAAAAGGCAGGGTATCTTTTTTATTCAAACAAACCCAGTATTCTTTATCACACCTGATAATTTTTTAAAAAATTAAAGTTTATTGGGGTGACAATGGTTAGTAAAGTTACATAGGTTTCAGGTGTACAGTTCTGTAACACATCATCTATATATCACATTGTATGTTCACCACCCAGAGTTAGTTCTCCTTTCATCACCACATATTTGATCCCTTTTACTCTTGTCTACCACCAACCTCCCCACTTACCCTCTGGTAACCACTAAACTATTGTCTGTGTCTGAGTTTTTGTTTCTTTGTTTGTTTGTCTTGCTCCGTTGTTGCTTTCAGTTTTATATCACATATCAGTGAAATCATATGGTTCTCAACTTTTTCTGTCTGACTTATTTTGCTTAGCATAATAATCTCAAGATCCATTCATGTTGTCACAAATGGTACTATTTCATCTTTTCTTATGGCAGAATAGTATTCCATCGCACCTGAAAAAATTTAACAAATATTTTTTTCTAAAATCATAAACATCCAGTCCCCCCTCCCTTCCTTCAGTTGGTTTCTTAGAATCAAGATTAAAGGAAGTCCACACCCTGTATTTTATTAATATGTCTCTTTTAAGCTACATGTTTCTCCCTCCATTTAAAAAATCTGTTGAATAAGCTTATTTATTGAAGAAAACAGGTTTGTTTGTCCTATAGAGTTTCCTGAATTCTGGATTCTGATGACTGCATGCTCACAGTGTCATTTCACATAGTCCTCTCACCCCTGTTCTTCCTGCCTGGTAGATTTAGAAGCTTGATCTGATTCAGGTTCACTTTTGTCAGGAATAATTCATAGGCCGTATAGTTTACTTCCATCAGGAGGCATCAATGTCTGTCTCTTTTTTGTTGTTTAGTCTCCGTTGATATTTGTCCCCAGATCCATTATTTCTCTAAGGGTTTGCATATTCTGATTCTGTATTCTTCTTTGTTTATTAACTAAAATAGAGAAAACCTTTTTCTCATCAACTGTTTGGTTACCCTGAAATATACCTTTACAAGAAAGGCAGTCTTAATTCTTTCCCTTTATTTAGCATTTTTCAGAAACATGACTTGGTTCTCTATCATCCTGGAATGACAACCAATTAGGCTTTTGAAAAAATATTATTGTGAGTGAACTCATGGATTTTAACATATTCAATGAATTTCAATCCATTGTGGTTATTATTCTCATTAAAGCACAATGTCTTATCTTTGGCCAGAAGGAGCCTTCAGAGTCCTTTGACACAACCCCAGTAGTCTTTAATAGTTTTATTTGATTTCAGATATAACAAGTTAGCCAGGCTCATCTTGTATAGTTCTTGCCCTAGACCCAGAATCAGCCATTCACCCAAGAAGCCCTGTTTCCTTTTAGTGGAGAATGTTATTAAGAAATCACAAGGTGGACGTTACAAGTGCTTGTTGCTGTAGTATCGGTCATTGTTACTAGATCTCTTGAAGTGGACAGAGTTATGAAATACATATTATTTTTTAAAAAGTAAATATGCAATGAATTCATACTGATATTTCCAATAGGATTATAGGGTTTTACTTACCTTCTTGATTTTATATTTGTGTCTCTTTTCTTTGGTGCTAACAATCTTGGTGCCTAACAACATTAATATAATGAATAACTTGTTTTATCTTTAAAAGTATATATTTATAATAATTTCAGAATATATCAATACCAATATTATTACTAAGAATGATTTCAAAAACAGTTTAAGTATTTTTTGCACTTTTTAAAAAAAGATTTTTATTGGGGAATTGGGGGATGGGAACAGCGCTGGGGAATTGGGGGAAGGAAAACAGAAAAGTTTCTGTCTTTTTGTTCTTCAGTCTAGTTGTGGAGGACATTGCTTCACTGGCCCAAGTTGGCACCATCATTGCGCTCTTCCCAGGCGAGGCAGATCAGTCGCCGGCTTCTGGACGGCCGCTCACTGTGGCTGCTGGCCGCTCACGCTGGCTGCTGGCTACACACAGTAGCCCATGGCAACCCACTGCAGCAGGGGCTGCAGCCTACGCCGTAGCAGGCGACTCACGGCAGCCCAGCTCCAGGTTGAGCTGTTGTTCAGCATCTTAGCTGTAGAGGGCAGTGTCACTGGCCCTCATATGTGGGATCTGAACCGGGGCCCTCTGGCATCCCAAGCTAGTTCTTAACCATCGGGCCACTTGACCGGCCCGTGCACTTTTATTCCTAGGATATATCCCACTAGGGATGTACAGTCAAAAGATTGTTTTAGTATTGTTAAAATATTGTTTTAAAATTACTTGAAATAATCTCATTCTCTGTGATTAAGCCATCGACTTGATACATAATTAGGTTTATTTTTTTCTATTTGCTTTTGATTTTTAGCAATTGATTTTTCCCCCTCAATGTTGATTGAAATTTGTTTTATATTTATGTAAAATATTTACATGGTTTTGAAGTAAAATCTAGTAAAGGAAGTATATTCAGATAAATCTAGCTTCTATCTCTGTCTTCTCCACCCTGTTCTCTCCCTGTCCCTGTAGTTAACTTTTATTTTATTGTTTATCTTTTTTTTTATTTTTATTTTTCAATTATTGTTGACATTCAATATTATTTTAGTTTGAGGTATACAGAATAGTGGTTAGACATTTATATAACTTACAAAGAGATTCCCCCCAATAAGTCTTACAGCCACCTGACACCATGTAGTTATTTCCTTTTGGCTTTTAAATATAAGCAGACAGGTATATATTCATATCTCCCAAGTCCCAAGGTTCTTAGATAAATGATAGCATTCCATATATATACTTTTCTCCACCTTTTAAAAACCCCATTTAACATTATATCCTAGCTATTACTCCATGGCAGTACAAAGAGATATTCCTCATTTTTGACACAGCTCTTTTTTTTTTTTTTTTTAAGCTGAGCCATTTTGCCACCTGTTGGCAGCTCAGCGGCTGCTCAGCTCGGGCCGGGAATCAAACCACTGTCGCTCAGAGCTCAAACTCTTGAGCGAGCTCTTACCGACTGAGCCACTCGGCCGGCCCCGTCCTCATTTTTGACAGTTACATAATATTTGATTGGTGTGTGTACCTTGTTGTATTAAACCAGCCCTCTTCGATGGACATTTGTATGCTGTAATAAAGTGCCTCATGCGTATGTCTTTTCCTATTTTAAGGGTATTACTTTTAACCATTTCTGCTTTCACTTCTGGTTATCTTTTATATCAAAATCATATATATGCTTGTATCACTGTTTTCATTTGCTAGGGCTGCCATAACAAAATACTACAGACTGGGTGGCGTAAACAACAGAGATTTATTTTCTCACAATTTTGGAGGCTAGAAATCCAAGACCAAGGCGTTGGCAGGGTTGGTTTCTTCTGAGGCCTCTCTCCTTGGCTTGCAGATGGCTGCCTTCTCGCTGTGTCTTCATATGGCCTTTCCTCTGCATGTGTGCATCCCTGGCATCCATTTCTGTGTCCACATTTCCTCTTATAAAAGCACCAGTCAGGCTGGATTAGGGCCCACCCTAATGTACTCATTTTAACTCCATCACCCCATTAAATGCCCTGTATCCAAATACTGTCACATTCTGAGGTCCTGGGAGGTAGGACTTCAACATAGGAATTTTGAGGGGACAGAAGTGAGATCATAATAATAATTAAATGTTTTTTTAACTTAAATGTACTGGAGTAACATTGGTTAAAACATTATGTAAGTTTCAGGTGTAAAATTTTATAATACATCATTGTTGTACTCCATTGTGTGCTCAGCACCCAGTCTCATCTTCTTCTGTCACCATATGTTTGGCCCCCTTTGCCCTCACTGTCATCTCCTCACCCCCCTTCCTCTTTGGTAACCACCAAATTGTTGTCTGTGTCCTTGAGTTTGATTGCTCGTCTGTTTCTTTTTGTTTTATATGCCACATATGAGTGAAATCATATGGTTCTAGTCCTTTTCCATCTGACATATTTCACTTAGCATAATCTCAAGATCCATCCATGTTGTCGCAAATGGCAGTATTTCATCCTTTCTTATGGCAGAGTAGTATTCCATTGTGTGTATACCACATCTTCTTTTTGTCATCAAATTTATAGCATATAAAATTATACATGTAAATATATACATACAATTTCTAGGGATTTACAGTAGAAGGGGTGGCGGTAGTGTGTGCTCAATCCTCCATCTCTCCTCCATCTTGATTCAGTCCTTGTTTGCTTCTATAGCATTTGTGCATAGTACATGTCAACTATTTATTTCACTGTCTGTCAATTATAATACTGTGAGCTACTTCAGGGTGCCTGGCATATAAAGAATACTTAATAAACATTTGTTGGATTAATGAAAATTTTATTAGAGATGTAATTAAAAACTAGAACCCACATGTGTTGACTTACAGTTTAGTGCTTAACATATTTCTTCAAGTATGTGAAACATTAATTTTTCAGAACTTTATCTTCCTATCTAAACTATCCTAATGTTGTCTTTTAATATTTTCTTAGAAGATGTGTTTTCAAGTCTATTAATTTTTTATTCTTGCTTATCTTAAGACTATTTCTCTTACATTACAGAGTTCAAAGCAGAGCACAGAACTCTAATAAATACTGACTGTTACATTTTTGTTTTCTGTGGATTACACTACTGAATATGGACAGAAAATTAAATATTTTCTCCAGTACTCTTCTCAACCAGTTTGGAGGAGGTGTGATTAAAAAAAATATTTTCTAATGTCTCTTCCAGATGACTATGAAAACAGGAAAAACATGGGTGGATATTGGAAATCCTACGATGGCTGATGAATTTTTACTAGTTGCCATGTCTGTAAGTTACCGATTTTTAGTTGTGGCAATTATTAGCAACAATTGCAGTGATTTTCATTATTTTACCTTATTGTGGTTTTATTTTCCAGGGTTTGGAGCAGTTGTATGACAATATAATGCAGAAGAGCTCCACTGATGCCCACCTGATGATGCAGAAGTCTGCTGTGGAGAGAGACGTTTTCAAAGTGCTTTCTTACCAAGCAGAATCAGTAGGTATCATAGTCACCAGGGCCTCACAGTAAGGCACTTTGCATATATATTAATGCAAAAGTGATTAGATATAACCTATTAGAAGAAGGTCAAGTGCCACTGGCATTTTATAAGATCTTATTTAACCCTTTTATCTCCGTTTTATATCTGAAGGTAACATTACTGATGGTGATTGGCATCTGTGTGAGAGTGGATGAGGTTTGAAAGACCGATATATAACTAAACTTCATTTTAACCACTGCATGTAATGTCTATCATTTATCTATGGCAGTAGCCTCTACTTGAAACACCTTTCTCTTTTTGTGACTCGCTTACATTCACAATCTGCCTAAAACATTTCCTGAAATGAGCCTTCTCATTTGCAATCGTTCTGAGTTTTTTTGCTCATGTTTTCTAAGATTTTATTGGATAATTGGGGGAGGGGAACAGCATTGGGGTATTGGGGACGGGGAACAGATAAGTTGCTGTCCTTTTGTTCTTCAGTGTAGTTGTGGAGGACATCGCTCCACTGGCCCATGTTAGTATTGTGATCATTGCGCTTTTCCCGGGTGAGGCAGATCAGTTGCCAGCCCCTGGACGGCCGCTCATGGTGGCTCTTGGCAGCTCACGCCAGCTGCTGGTTGCTCACGCTGGCTGCAGCCCACTGCAGCTCCACTGCAGCCTACGCTGTCGCCTCTCATCAGCCCAGGTCCAGGTCAAGCTGTTGTTCACCATCTTAGCTGTAAAGGGCACAGCATCACTGGCCCTAATGTAGGATCCAAACCGGCGGCCCTGCTGCTCAGAGCTGGTGTCCCAAGCCAACTCTTAACCAATGCGCCACTCAGCCGGCCCCTGATGTTTTCTAAAAGTCTGCTGCTGTCAGTGTTCAAAGTTGTACTTTAGCTCTGTTTGGCTTTTGGTTTTCCTCCTTTTGTCACTCTACAGTTAGATGTGCATTTTTAGTTGACAAAATGTAAGCTGTGATGAGTTTGTGCTCTGTAATTAAGTAATTCTAGAAATGAAAGATCTTAAATATCATCTGTAATAGTATAATCTTATTTCTGTTTTTAATATATTTATTGAGATATAATTCATATACTATAAAATTCACACATTTAAAATGTATAATTCAATGGCTTTAGTATATTCAAAGGATTGTGCAATATTTGCCACAATCTAAGTTTAAAATATTTTCATCACCCCAAAAAGAAACCCCCTACCCATTAACAGTCATTCCCCATTCCTCCTGACCCTAGCCCTGGCAACCACTAATCTGCTTTCTATTTGTATAGATTTACCTATTCTGGACATTTCATATCAATGAAATCATACAATAAGTACTCTTTTGTGATTAACTTCTTTCAGTTAACATGTTTCCAAGGTTAATCCATGGAGTAGCATGTATCAGTACTTCATTCCTTTTTATGGCCAAATAATATTCCATTGTATGGATAGACCACATTTGTTTCTCCATTCATACATTCATGAATATTTGAGTTTTTTTCAATTTTGGGCTATTATGAATAACTCTACTGTGATTATTCATATATACATTTTTGTGTGTACATGTTTTTATTTCTCTTGGATATATACCTCAGAGTAGAATTGCTGAATAACATGGTAACTCTGATTCAAATTTTAGGTTATGGTGTGAATTTGGTGTCCAACTTCATTCTTTTACATGTGGATATCCATTTGTGCCAACACCATTTATTGAAAAGACTATTCTTTCTCCATTGAATGGTCTTAGCACCCTTGTCAAAAATCAGGTGATCATAAATGTGAGAGTTTATTTCTGGACTTTTGATTCTATTCCATTCATCTATATGTTTGTCCTTATGCCAGTGCCACACTCTCTTGGTTATAGTAGCTGTGTAGTAAGTTTTGGAAATCAGAAAGTGTGAATCTTCCGATTTAGTTATTTTTCATGATTATTTTGACTATTCTGGGTCTCTTGCATTTCCATATGAATTTTAGGATAAGCTTTTCCATTTATGCAAAGAAGCCAGCTGGGATTTTCATAGAGATAGCATTGAATCTGTTCAATTTGAGGAATATTTCTATCTCAAGAATATTAAGTATTCTGATCTATGAATATGGGATGGTTCCCCATTTATTTAGGTTTTGTTTAATTCCTTCTTGTTTCGTAAATGGTGACATTGACTATCTTTCCATTTCTTTGTGTCTTTTTCAATTTATTTCAATGATGTTTTATAGTTTTCAGTGTATAGGTCTTTCACCTCTTTGGTTAATTTATCCCTAGGTACTTTTTTATTTTTGTTACTGTTGTAAATGGGATTGTTTTCTTAATTTCTGTTTTTTCATTGTTAGTATATAGAACTGCAGCAGATTTTTGTATACTGCTTTTGTGCCCTGCAACTTTACTGTATTTGTTTATTTCTAATAGTTTTTTGGTGGAGTCTTCAGGGTTTTCTGTATATAAAATCATGTCATCTGCCAATAGTGACAGCTTTACTTTTTCCGTTCCAGTTTGGATGCCTTTTAGTTCTTTTTCTTGTCTGATTGCTCTAGATAGGATGATGAAAATGTTCTGGGAATTAGAAAGTGGTGATGGTTGCACAACTTCTTGAATATACCAAAAAACCACTGAATTGTGTACTTTTCTTATTTTTCAATTAGAGTTGACATACAATATATTAGCTTCAGGGGCAGAACATAGTGATTAGATACTTATATAACTTATGAAGTGATCACCCTGTTAAGTCTAGTGCCCACCTGACACCATACATACCGTATTTGCCAGCGTATAAGACGACCCCCTAACATTTCCACTCAAAATACAGAGTTTGTTATATACTCGCCGTATAAGACTACCCCCTCTTCCGCACACCTTCCACACACCAAATAAAAGGTAAAACAATATCAGATTTGATTTGGCCCACTGAAGTGCAAACAAGCGTATTGTATTTCGTGTCACCACATAACCGTTTTGGCGATGTTGAGCCACCATGTCTGCTACATGTTTTTCGAGTTCTGGCCAGTGTGGGGTGCCTCTTCTTAATGCACACTTACCCCTTGGCATACTCTTTAATGCTTTCTCATTTGATTTCCAGTCCCGAACCATCTTTTCTGTTACTCCATATTGTCTTGCAGCAGCACAATTATTATTTTCCTTAGCAAAGTTTATAACTTTCAGTTTAAAATTTGCATCATACTTCTTTCTTTTGGCTGGTGCCATGATAGGGATGATAGGGGTTTGACTGGTCGACATTTTCTATGCTGTACTGTACAATGGTGCAGTATTGTGGTTGGCTGTTGGCTGTATACAAAGCCTGATCTGATTGGTCCCTGCTCCCTGTTTGCCCACCCTGTCACTATAGCAGTCTGGTCCACCCTTGAATCAGCATCTCCCTGGGACCTCACTAGTGCGCAAGTGCGAGCTCTTCAACATTCTAACAGGCACCATGATAGCGCAAAATCGCGAATCTTCAATGCATATGTAAAGAAATATATGGTAACCCGAATTTACCACACTCGCAAAATCGCACACAGCCGACCATACACCCAATATGGTATCGCGATTCGCGATTTTGCGCTATCATACTGGGTGTATGGTCGGCTGTGTGCGATTTTGCGAGTGTGGTAAAATCGCATAACAGCCGAGCATACACCCAGCAGCGCTGCTGATGCCTGAACGGTATGTGGAATGAAGTGGGCGGGCATCGGGAGGCCACTATGGCACGGGGCAAGCACTATGGGCAGTCTATCTGAAGTGTACCTGGCGTATAAGACGACCCCCCACTTGGAGGCATATTTTTCAGGGCCAAAAAATCATCTTATACGCCGGCAAATACGGTAATTTTACAGTATTATTGACTATATTCCCTATGCTGTATTTTCCATCCCTGTGACTGTTTTTTAACTGCCAATTTGTACTTAATCCCTTCACCTTTTTCACCCAGCCCTCCAACCCCCTCCCATCTGGTAACCATCAGTTTGTTTTCTGTATCTATGAGTTTGTTTCTGTTTTGTTTGTTCATTTAATTTGTTTTTTAGATTCCACATATAAGTGAAATCATATAGTATTTGTCTTTTTCTGTCTGACTTATTTCATTTATCATAATATGCTTTAGGTGCATCCATATGACCCAGCAATTCCCCTTCTGGGTATTTATCTGATGAAATCCAAAACGCTAGTTTGAAAAGATACATATGGCTATATGTTCAGCATTATTTACAATACACAAGATCTAGAAGCAACCTAAGTTGCCAATCATCAGTCGATAGATAATTGGATAAAGATGTGATACATATTTACGTATACAATGGAATATTACTTTTCCATAAAAAAAGAATGAAATCCTGCCATTTGCAACAACATGAATTGTGTGCACTTTAAATTGGTGAATTTTATTGTCTATGAATTATATCACACAGACAAAAACAGCCCTGCAAATGAAGCTTTTCCATGGACCTGCCAGACTGGTCAACTAGTGACAATTTTCTTTGGGGATGGGGATTTTTTGGCCCCTCTAAACTCATTTTGTTTTTTTACAGTTGCTGCTAAGCTACCATTTTTCACAGCTAATATGGTTCCCAATCTGCTGATTTTCAGGTCAATTGCAGGGCTGCAGAGAGGGAGATAAAAATGAGCAACTTAAAATACCTCAGAGCTTGCTGTCTCACTCAGATTCTTTTATTCAAGAAAAATCAGCCAATTTTCTTGAGCAAACATGTCTCAGATTGTTGCAAGCCCTTGTTTAATTTCTGGGATTTTGAAAAATTCATTTTGACCATTTTTGCCAGTTTTCGTTGCTTTTCTGGAGCAGTGGCGTTTCAGAGGTCTTTAATCCACCATGCCAGAAGTGATTCTCCTAAAACTGATTTTTGTATGTTGATCTTGTATCCTGTATTTTTGCTGAAAACTCACTTACTAGTTCCAGATTTTTTTGGGGGTAAATTCCTTGGAATTGTCTGTGTTGACTCTCTGTCATCCATAGATAGGGACAGTTTTATTACTTTTCAATTTGTATGCCATTTATTTCCTTTTCCAGCCTTATTGTGCTGGCTTGGACTTCTAATACCATGTTGAGTAAGAGTGGTGAGGACAAATGTGATTTTTTTTTTCTTGGACATGTTATAATGGGATGTGTCATCCTTTGGTATATCTGCATAACGCAGTCAACCAGTGTATTCCAAATTGCCAATTCATGTTGTTATAAAATTATACATGGGTAAAATAGCCATTCAGTGTGTAAGCGATATCCATGGGTTTTAATGTAAACGGTATGAATATATCATTGGTATGGTTCTAGAATTCACATTGCAGTTAACCTTTAAGAAACTTCCACTTGCTGAGTTTTGGTGTTGTAGCAAATAAGAAGACCCACAGTTATCTGAAAAGACTATTTTCCAGCTCCATATATGTGTGAGACTGGATTTTCTTTATATACTTCAACCAAAACAACATTGCAATAGGTATAAAGCAGAAGCAGATACGAGAACCCAGGTGTTCTATTCAACCAGACATAATAGATTGCAAAAATGTAGCATAGTGGTGCTCTTCTGCTATTTTTATTTAATGTTTAGAAAATATAGTTAGTTTTCATAAAATATGTTATTTATATTAACATGTAATAATCATATTTATTTTTCAATGAATACATAAATATTTTTATAGTTTTCAGTTTTTCTAATATGCAGTAATAACTTGGTTTGAGAGCATGATTTGTTCTGGAAACAAGCTATGCGTATTGCAAGACATCGCTCATTTACCACATTGAAATGTATTAGAAATGTTTGCTCATCTTGCGGAACACTTGCAAACCACATTACTCGGAATCCAAGGTTTTACTGTAGTAAATATTGATAGCTATAACCTAGATAAACAAAATCTCTTTAAGTCCTCAATAATTTTTATAAGCTATAGGGCTCCTGAAACCAAAATGAATCAGAACTATTGGTATAGGATTGTTCTAGAGTTGTAATTCTCAAACTATGGTCCCTGGACAGCAGCATGAATACGTATCACCTGGGAACCTGTTAGAAATGCAAATTAATGGGTGCCACCCCAGGCCTAGTTGCTCAAAATTCTGGAGGTATAGCCCAACAATCTGTTTCAGCAAGCCTTCCGAATGATTCTGTAGTATGCTAAAAGTTGAGACCCATTGGTAGAGTATATTATGTCAGGATATTTGACAATGAGAAGAAGAAAAATCGAGTTGTAGCTACTGAGAGAAGCATGGTCAAAGGAAGTTCATTTTCAAAATAGAGTATGAGCATATTATAGGTAGAACATAAAAAACCAGGGAGAAGAAGATTGGAGGAGTTGGATAAAGAGAAGGGGGTTATTCGATGGGGCATAAACCAGAAGGAGATGGAAATAAATCTGATCAAGTGTGTGTACAGAGGGCTAAACATTTATTTAGTGCTTGCTATATGAGTCTTCTCTGTGCACTAGAGATAAAAAGGTCAGTAACTTTTTAATAAGTGGTAACTCTCTTATAGGAGCTTAAGGTAAGGTTTGTGTGGGAGGTAAGGATGTAGAAACAGATGCCTTATAACAGGGTAATTGCTTTAAAAGATATATGAGGGCCGGCTGAATGGCACATTGGTTAGGAGTTGGCTTGCGACGCCAGCTCTGAGCAGCAGGGCCCCGGTTCAGATCCTACATGCGGGCCAGTGATGCTGCGCCCTCTACAGCTAAGATGATGAACAACAGCTCGACCTTTAGCTGGGCTGCCATTAGTCGCTGGCGATGGCATAGGCCGCAGAGGGGCTGGCTGGCAGCTGGCGTGCCCTTTCGCGAGCTGCTGTGAGCTGCCGTCCAATGGCCAGCAAGCGACTGCCTCACCCAGGAAGAGCGCAATGATAATACCAACATGGGCCAGTGAAGCGACGTCCTCCACAACTAGACTGAAGAACAAAAGGACAGCAACTTGTCTGTTCCCCTTCCCTGATTCCCCAATGCTGTTCCCTCCCCCAATTCCCCAATAAAATCTTTAAAAAGAAAAGAAAAGAAATATGAATGAAGTTCCACAGTAAAACAAAGGATCAACAACTAACTTTGCTGTAAAAATTAACAAGACTGAATTTTTCTGGTAAGGAAAGGGACATAAGATATTTTATGTTGCAGATAATTAAATGTTAGATAATAGAGCTCATGAGTTCTTTTTATTAAGGTGGGAGGTGGAGTAATTTGGGGTAGGGTGCAGTAGCAGGATGTGGCATGTTATAGAGCGCTTGAAGAATATGAAAAAGGGCCTGAACGTGTGTGGGAGATGTCCTAAGGAAATCACCAGAGAAGGAAACTAAGTTGTATGAGCATCTACTGTACACTTGACGTGGCACTAGGAGCTGTAACATTTTTGATTGCTGAGCTGAAATGAGGGTCCAGTTGAAGTTAGCATAACATTTTAGTAGGTTCATTCAGCGTAGTTTACTGTCTTTGGGTTAACTGTTGTCATCATCACTTAGTGGCATATTAGGTGATGGCCAGTCTAGCATTTACTTCCTTGCATACTGGTAATAATCCCTTGCTGTTGAGCAGCAGTTCATCTCCAACCTTGGAGCTTTTCTCATCTCTTCCAAGGAAGGGCAAACCTGAGTTCCTTGATCCATCAGTGTAATACTTTACAGATCTCCTAGGTTAAGATTTCAGAGAGTTTACATCTCTTCACCAGCAGTGAGTACCATATAAGAGCACATAACCTCCTTGGTTCCAATTCTTGGCACTGATGGTAGTTTTGACTGCTAAAATTATTCACATTTTTGTATGTTGCCTTACAGTTTACAGAATGTTTTACATCTGTGGTCTCATTTGATCCTCCTAAGATCAGTCCTATGTGGTAGAAATCGCTATCCCTATTTTATAATTAGGGAAATTGAGGCTCAAAGAGGTTGTAACTGGCCTAAGGTCACTGAGCAACGAAGTGGAAAAGCTGGGAATGCAAAGCCCGTGTTGTTTTCACCATATCAGCATAAGCAGGGCACCATCCCAGCCTAATGAACCAGGCTCTCCCAGTGGTGAGACAGGGTTAGGGTGGGACCTGTGCATGTGATTTTCGAAGACATCATGCTGCCTTTTCCTTCAGACTTCTTTGCCTGAAATTCTCTATCTTTTGGATTTGAAATGTTGATTTCTGGCCCTACATGAAGAATGGATTTTCAAAACTAGCTTGAATTATTAGAGCTTTGATATCATCTAAAATCTGATTAACGATAGACACTTTATGGATTCTTTGAGCATTAAAGACTTATATTGTTTTATATGATATACGAATAGAAAGTACCATCCTGCAATGTGGGGTTTATCACTCAGCATTTCTCTTTTATAAAAAGATTTTCTCCACCTTGAATAATGAATCAATCAGCAAGTATTCTTCAAACTTTTATTTGTATAGATGGGAATATTATTTTATAATCTCTGTAGATAATTGAAAGTTGGTTCTTGTGTTTACAGTTTATTTTCTCCTTTATCGTAATCTAGTATTAAAGCCTTAGAGGAGAGAATCTACTCAGTAAGATGTCAAGCTTAATATTTAGTAGGTAGATAGAGGAGAAAACTGGAGAGAAGCCGGCTTCTTATGTTTTTAGTTTTTCTTCTCTGTTCAATGATTTTCTTCTCATTTAAGAAAATCATTGAGTAAAAAAGAAAAATTAAGAAGATAAAATAGCAAAGAAAAATTAAGAAAAGAGAAAAATTAAGAGAAAAAAATAGCAAACAGAGATTTTTTTCTCCTACAAAAGTACATTATAAAATTATTTTCTTGTATATGTCCATGCCTTTTTAAAAAAAAATATGCCTTGTCAGCCAAATTTTTAAAAGACGAAAACAAGCCTTTTTGACAAGTACCTGAGTAATGTGAAATTGATGTTTTTGTTCAATTGAGGGTGTTCAGTCATAGAATGGTAGAGCTGAAAGGAATCTTAGAGATAAGCTAGTCTAGTGTCCTCATTTTATAGATGAGAAAACTGAAGCCAGAGAGCATAAGGTTCAAGGTTACGTGGAGCTCTTCTGACTCCAAGATGAGAATTCAGTAAAGTGCCTTTCATAGCAGACGTTCACAGCGATTGAGACCATGAGGTTATTGTGAGCCTGTTTTACGACAACAGACTGCTATTTTCTAATGTGGAGATAAATACAAGAGTTATTCAAGCTGGGGAAGCATCTACTAGACATGGCATTATATCATCATATAATAACATAAGATTCCACATCACTTTTGGCATTTCCAGAAAAAGTAAATTATTTCCAGTCATTCAGTGTCAACTCTGTTACCCAAGATTCTTGTCACTTATTTCTCTGTATTTTGACCTGGCTATTGTGTTTAACTAGACCAACTAGTGTTGCAAAAAGAATTAGAAAACAAATTAAGGCTTTTTAACACCAGTTAAAATATGTTAAAATTGACTTACAGACAAATAGCTTGTTTCATTTTAACCAGTTATTGTCATTATTTTCCCTTTCCTAGGCAATTGCTCAAGACGATTTTGAAAGAGCATCTACATGTGTACTGCGTTGCAAAGACATGTTGATGAGGCTCCCTAAAATGGTGAGGGAAACTTCTGCTTTTATTCTTCAAGAGTTTGAAATATATATCAAGTTTTAGGAAGAATTATTGCTGCTTTCTGCAACCCTTTCAGTTCTGCTTAGCTGATCTTTGAAATATTTCGCTTCCTTTCTTCTATATTAGAAAGGGTGTTTAAAAAACCAATATGGGTTATTTCTTAAAATTTCTTTGCTTTCCCTTTTATTGTCAAATCTTTTTTATATTATTTCCTCATATTTCATGCTTTGTGATAAAAGAAAAAAAATGAATTTATTTCCCTGCTGACAAGGTTGACAGCAGTTAATCATATCACTGCCACAGTATTTTTCTATATTGGGATTTCGAGGTGTGAGAGATTTGATAGGATAAATAAAGCCAGTTTCCCAGACTGGATCTTGTTAAAATTCCAGAGTTGATAAGTTTTTATTTCTCCACTTTATCTCCCTTTTCCATTCTTTCTCCCCTATTTCAGTGCTTATGCCTACCTACTTCAGTGTTTACTATCACACAGGGAATTGATAACAAAGATATATTTGGGAGATAGCAGGGATGGGGACAATGGTCTATGGCCATACCATTCTGAACACACTGATCTCAGAAGCTAAGCAGGGTCGGGCCTGGTTAGTACTTGGTTGGTAGATATGGAGAATGTTCCCAGGGCTCCATAAATTGTACCTACTTATGAGATTGATCTTAGTTTTTCTCTAAGTTCTGTGTTATAATGTAAAACTTGATTCAATAAGTATTTATATATTGCCAATTGTATGCTAGGTACTCTTCTCAGCTTTACAATTTTTAAAGCAATTTCATATTTTAAAAAATGTTACAAGTTAAAGAACTCTTGTCCACCCTTTGCCCAGAGAGACCCCATTCAAGTTGCCCAATACTGCCCTTTATACAAAATGGGTTTTATCTAGGATTGTACCTGGTTTCTAGTCTCTTTCAATTTGGAACTCTTCCTCACTCTTGCCTTGACTTTCATGACCTTGGCAGTTTTGAAGATTACAGACCAGTCATTTTATAGAACATAACCTTAATTTTTTTTTGTAGTTTAAAAAATTTTTTGTTGACATAAATTGGCCATATAACATTGTCTAAATTTGAGGTGTATGATGTGTTGGTTTAATACATTTATATATTGCAATATAATTACTACAGTAATGTTAGCTAACACCTTTATCAGGTCACAAATTATCATTTTTTTGTGTTGAAAACAGTGAAGATCTAGTCTCTTAGCAATTTTGAAATTTATAATACAGGACTGTTGACTATGTTGTGCATTAGACACCCAGGACTTATTATCTACTGGTTTCACATGTGTACCCTTCAACATCTCCCCAATTCCCCCACCCTTAATTTGGGTTTGTTCAGAGTTTGCTCATGATTAAACCAGGTTATGAATTTGGGGCCACAAAATCACAGAAGTGATTCTGTGTTCTCCCCATGGCTTACAATTGGGTGGCATACAGGATTGATTTAGTCTATTACCCTGGGTGTACACCCTCCTCACCCTGCTCCGACACCCTCTGCCTGGCCATTATAGATGCTCTCTCACCCTACTTGGGCTCTGACTTTCTATGCTCATCCCCTGGGTGGTTGAACAATACATTCTTATACTAGAATGCTTGCTTAGAATCTTATCAAGGAAACCACATAGTCCCCAGAGCCTCTGTCCCTCTGGAAAATTGTAGAACTATAAAAAGAAATTCCTAAAAAGCCTGTAATTCAGGTGGCTACTGTTACAAAGAAGAGAAAGTGCATAAAAACTGGGTAGGAGGCATGGCTGACTTGACAACAAGATATCTCTAGTCCTTGGAAGAGGAGTTTATGAAATCGATTTTATTTTTTAAAAAATCAAAAACTGAAAAACCTACTCTAAAGCAAATTAAACTTAGCTTCTATTTTTAAGTAAGTATATGTCACACAACACTTCTAGGAGTTTGATGGAGGTGTTGTGAAATCAAATAATGAAGTGGTTGGAAATAATTGGTTTAGTGTCTAGCTTCTATGGGTGCATAGTGAAAAATCAGTTAACTGGAATAATTGGGTCATAGTGATAGTTTCTGTAACTGACCTTTGTTTAGCGAGAGTTAGAAAATTCTTCCAGTTTGAACAATTATTTTAAAAAATGTTTACTTCGGTAAGTAGAACATACAGACTTTCTTTGATATTTAGGACTTGTAATTACTCAAAACAAGTTTTGTGATATATGTACAGCATTGTAGAAGGAGAAACTTACTAGTGTGGCTAGTGGCGAGGCACTTCAGTGCTCTGAAAATCAGTGTCCTCATCTGTCAAATGAGTTTACGACAACGTGGTCTCCAATGTCCCTTTAGTAAAAAATTCCTAGTCTTCAGTTTACAGAAGACCTGGGCCATGGCCCAGAGTGTATGTGTGTCTATGCTTATATTTTTAGAGCAAAAATCTCTGTTAGCAGATTATTTTCTTAATTTTTCCCTATTTCTCCTCAAAGTTTGAAACTTTAATTAGAATTTTATTTTCATTAGTTGATTTGTGTATTTGGCTTGCTTTTGTCTTTCTATTTTTAGCTTGCTTTAGAATTTACCTTCAGTGTACACTTTTACTTCGCTGCGAAACTGTTCACTTACACAAGGAAAATGGCTGATTAGTCTCTGAAATCCTTTGAAGTAATTAAATCAAGGTTCAGCTAGATTTCATTTCTGTTCCTCTGTAGGGGAACAAAGCTTCTAAATGAAGTCTAGGATGCCTAGACTTTATTACCTTTCTTTGGCCTATTTAAACTTACCATTCTGTAGCCAAATATTTAACACTTATATGTAAGACTTTGTATACGTCTCTCTATAGTAAAATCTAATCTCATGGCACACAAATGAATTACTTCTCTGGAAGTAAAATTCAGTTTTCTGCCTGTCATGGCTAGCTGGAATGTAATTACTTTCCTTGACCCTTTCTGCCCACTGCTTTGTGTATCTGGGAAATCATAACTTACTTAAGGGTTTTGGTTTTCATTCCAAACTCAAAATCATTTGAGCCTTAAAATGACTCATTGGAATCTTTGTAATGACATGTTTCATTAAATTTTAAGTGAGTTATATACTTTTTAACTAAACACCTAGAGCATATGGAAAGCTTGGTCAGACTTGGTCATGTTCTGGGCTGCAGTCAGGCTCTTTACATGGCCATTAGAATATTACTACTTCTAACAAATCTCAATGTTTATTTTTAGTTCAGGCTATCATTGTTATTTTTAAATATGTATGATTTACTTTTTATGCCTGCTTTTATATGTACTTTAATTTTTTTATCACTAACACGTAGTTTAAAGAGAAAAATAATTCTACAATTCTTGTTACAAAATCACCAGCCTCACACCTTTCCCCTCTTTTTTTATCTTGTAGAATAGCTACTATCAGTTATTTCAGATGGTTCTTTTTATATTTACCTCCATATCTCTAAATAATGTTCTTATACTACCAGTTCTTGATTTTTTTAGTTTTAGATATCATCTATTGACCTCCCACTTTAAAAGATGAATTTAACTCCTTTTCACTCTTCCCTTACCCCCACCACACATATGCCTACTTCTTGTCACTCCATTATCTCTATATGGTTATGCCATAATTTTGGTTAGATTACTATTCGGTGTTTATACTGCTATGTTTATGTAAATGCTATTTTCATTTGAACCATATAGGGTACTAGGATTACTTTTTCTTTCCTGCACAACATTTCGTTTTCTCTGGAGTTAATAATTCCAATGGTTTTCCTGATCAATTAGTTTTCCATGTACTTAATATTATCTCTTCTCCAATCTTATTTCTCCCCTAATTAGGTCAACTTCTTTTCAATATCTTGAAATATTATTGCTACTTTATCAGTTTCATTCGCTTGGAGGAATTTCCCCCATAGTTTCTGATATGCTCTACGATGGGCAAGTTGCTCTTCTCCGCATGTTACACAGCTGTTGTTTGAGACCTTCCTTCTCCATTGAGTTGGGAACTCCCCTCACTTCTCTCTTGGTTTGGATCTCTGTTTCTTTCTTTTCTTTTCTTTTAAGCCGAGCCATCCTGCTACCTGTTGGCAGCTCAGCGGCTGCTCAGCTCAGCTCAGGACGGGCATCGAACCGCTGTTGCTCAGAGCTCAAACTCTTGAGCGAACTCTTCAACTGAGCCACTCGGCCGGCCCCTGGATCTCTGTTTCTTGATTCCTATATTTTTCTTTTTATGGTTTTAATACCTCATTTTTGTGGGGCATATTCTCCAGTAGCTTCCTGACAGTGGTAGCAAGGGATACAGATTTATTTAAACTCTGCATGTCTAAACATATTTTTATTCTACCATTGCATTTATACTTTAACTAGATATGAAATCATATGGTGTTTGTCTTTCTTTGTCTAACTTCACTTAGCATAATACCCTCTAGGTCCATCCATGTTGTTATAAATGGTAAGACTTCATTCTTTTTTATTGCAGAGTAATATTCCATTGCATGTACACACACACACACACACACATATATATATATATATATATATCACATCTTTTTTTGTCAATTTATTTAATTTTTTAAAAAAATTGAGGTATAATCTATGTATAACATTGTATTAGTTTCAGGTGTACAACATAATTATTCAGTATTTGTATACACCACAAAATGAGCACCACAATCAGTCTAGTTAACATCTGTCACCATACATAATTACAAATTTTTTCTTGTGATAAGAACTTTAAGATTTATTTTCTTAGCAACTTTCAAATATGCAATATGGTGTTATTAACTATAGTCACCATGCTGTATCAAGTATGTTTTTTGAAATGGTTATTTTAAAAAATTCAGTTGCAGATGCCATTTAATATTGCATTAGCTTCAGATGTACAGCATAGTACACCACATCTTTGTGCATTCATTTGTTCATGGACACTTAGTGTCCATGTCTTGCCTATTGTAAACAATGCTTCACTGAACATAAGGGTCCATATATCTTTTTAAGTTAGTGTTTTTGGTTTCTTTTGATAAATACCCAGAAGCATGATTGCTGGGTCATAAGGTAGCTCTATCTTTAATTTTTTGAGGACCCTCCATACTGTTTTCTATAATGACTGCACCAATATGCAGCCCCACCAACAGTGCACGAGGATTCCCTTTTCTCCACATCCTCACCAGCACTTGTTTGTTGCATAGCATCCTGTTATTATTTCATGCTTGCAATATATTATTTTCTCTCTTAGAAGATATTGACAAATTTCTCCCTCCCATGTTTTTTCTCTGCATAATCTCTATTTTCGCCAAGGTGATATTTTTTATGTGGGTGCGTGTGTGTGTTTTGTCTCTGCCTTTCTATTAGATGCTTTCCTCAAATGTCCAATTATCACTAGCTGCTTATCTTTAATAACAAAACACTAAAAATTTCATTGGAAGCTCTGTTCCTAGGTCATCTTCTCTGTAATTTGATGTGGATGAGGTGTTCTGCAAGGTGAGCTGCTTGCTAATTTCATTGTCCTTGTATGTTTTCCCTTGGGCTGGTCAAATTTCCCACAGAGAGGGAACAAAGACTTGGGTCTTGATACTCGGTATGTAAATTTTTCCTTAATCACCCTTTTTTCAGTATAGCATCTCTACCCTCAACTGTGCCTCATTTCCTCAAGTTCAGAGATCCCCTGTTTTGCAACGTGCAGTCTGTTGCTAGGATCATGGAGAGGCAGTTGTTTATCTGATGGAATAAGGAATGGGACATGAGGGTCTAAATCTTTTTAAAACATACCTTCAACCAATTCTTTTGTTTTCAGCCCCACCTTTACAAGGTATCTGGGGTGCCAGCTGCTGAAATTGGTAGGAGTATATGGTAATGTAATTTGGGTTGCTTCTCACATTTCCCCATTGCTAGTATAGCATTCTGCTTTCTCATGTAGACTAAGTCAGTTACTAACTTACCCATTTCTTTTCCAGCTTCTAAAATAATGTGATCTTGGAATGCTGTCCTGTTGTACTTATCCTAGTGGGTTTGTGCCTTTTAAAACAATTTTACTTAATACCATCAAAAAGAATAAAATACTGAGGAATAAATTTATCCCCATAGGTGAAAGACTTGTACACTGAAAACTATGACAAACTGATGAAAGAAATAAGGCAGACACAAATAAATGGAAAGACATCCTGTGTTTATAGATTGGAAGACTTAATATTGTTAAAATGTTCATACTATTCAAAGCTATCTATAGACTCAGTGTCAACTCTATAAAAAATCCCAGTGCCATTTTTTACAGACACAGAAAAAAAATCAAAAAATTAATATAGAATCTTAAGGGACCCAAATACCCAAAACAGTCTTGAAAAGGAAGAATAAAGTTGGAGGCCTCACACTTCTGATTTCAGAACATATTACAAAGCTACAGCAACCAAAACACTGCAGTACTGCCATAAAGACAGGCATATAGACCAGTGGAGCAGAATACAGAGCCCAGAAATAAACTTTGCATATATGGTCAAGTGATCTTCAACACGGGTGCCAAGGCCACTCAATGGGGAAACAACATTCTCTTCAACAAATGGTGTTGGGAAAACTGGATGTCCACATGCAAAAGAATCAAATTGGAACTTTACCTTACATCTTATTAACTAATTAACTTATTAGCTAATAATTTTATCTGTAAAGTTTCTTGAATTGTTTGCATTTGCATGTTTTTGCTGTCTCTTTTGGCTCTGTTGCTACCTATTTCACATTATAAATTACTTGAGGACAGAGACCTTTCTTTAATAAGCTTTGTAGAGTTAATGGACATTGAATTGTATATTGAAAGGTATGAGAGGAGATTCTTAGGTGGTGTGTAAGGAAAGAAAACTTTTGGCAGCATTGCAGTGTTAGAGCTGATAAAGGGAAGAGGAAATGGAGAGAGGAAAGAGCTGAATTAGAGGACAATATGTGACACAAGAGTAGCTGAGGCTTCATCAGGATGGGGCTACTAGTAAGAGACCGTTAAGTCCAGAGAGTTAAGAGTTATTTTATTTTATTGATATAACTATAGTGTTAGGAAACTCATGATTTTTAATTCTAATGGTCAGTGAATGTATTTAGTGTGTTTTTAGTGGGCTTAAGGTTTAGGCAAGGGACCTGAAAATCTAGGGCAGGAAATATTATAATGACAGGAAATGATCGGATAAAGGTTGAAAAAGCTAACATAGTGTTAGTCACTTAAAAGGACTTAAGGAAACCAGTTATCTTTTTCTGAAGACATCCTTCCTGTATTCTAAAACTAGATTAGGAATTACTGTAAGGTGTTGACATGAAGACAGAAGGTAATGCTGCATTGTTCAGAGGCAAATAAAGTGTTTGGAAAATTGTATCTTAGAGTGCCAGGAGAAATAACTAATGACCTTATTGATTATTACTGAGATATCTGAGGATTAAAGAAAGCTGAGTAAGGGAGAGATTGGAAGCTTAATGTCTTAAAGCCAATAAGGAAGAAAGCCAGGCAATTTATCATTCAATTATTGCTACGCTATTATAAATTGAACAAAATGTAAAAATACAGACCTATAAATGTTTAAAAGACAACAAAATCAAAGAAAAATAGCTTGTAATTTGAGACTGGAAATATTATAGGTTTGCTTTTTCTGAATTTTAAAAACCCAATTTACAAAGTAAATTTTCAGAAAATGAAGTTATCTAGTTAATTAAACATAAAAAGCCTTGTAACAAACTGAGTAGTTAGTGATCAGACCCATTTTTAGCAGCAATATCTAATTAAGTTTTAAAAATCATCTATATAATCTCATCTTGGCATTGGTATTTGGTTGGAGCTATCATTTTTGGGCAGGAGATGTAACAGTGGCTGGAGGTCCTCCTAGAGATCCCTGGGTCCCGGAGATTCCATAATGCATTAGTAAAAACCAATATACAATAGATTTACAGATCTACTTTCTTTGTATTTTTTTTGCTATTGTATATTGCTTGCAAAATGAGATGTTAGCACTCTATAAAAGGCTAGAAACATATTTTTCAAAGAGACACTTTTATGAATCTTAGTACTTCATATACTATTAGAAATGTTTCATGAGCTGAGATTTATGTCTGTTTTGTTTACTGATGTATCTCTAATGCTTAAAATACTGCCTAACAGTTAGGAAATGCTTAGTAAATACTACTGAATCTGTAAATGAACGAGTGAAAATTACATTGAAAATATGCTGTGGGCCTTGTGAAAGATATTTTCGTGTTTTGCAGGTATGTTGTCCTAAGTTTATTGTTTTGTATTTTTGTTCTCCCCTAGGAAGTAGCATTTAGTGTGGGCCCACTTGCAGGTTTCATGAGGGCAGAGACAAGTACTGAGGAAATTGAATAAAGACTCAGTATACTTAAATGTTCATCAAAAGCTTTATTTTCCATTTTCCTCTACAATTAGTTGCAGGCCTCTGCAGCAAGTGGGTGTGAGCTACATAATTCCAGTCTAGCTCCATAATTGGTGTGTCCCTGTGTGAACCTGTGGGATCTGGGGCATATAATGAGTTAAGCTTTTTCTGCTGAAATGTCAAGAATGCATTGAAATACTTCTGGATTCTTGCCAGACCCACATTACCAAGTCTATTCTTTATTTTAGATTCAAATATACAGTAGTTCTGATGTGCTCAGGCATGCATATTGAACATCTGAATGTACTGTAATTCAAAGGGAAACTTTTTTAGAAGCAAGACAGGTCTTTACATATTATTTATGAATAACTTGCCTCAGATCTTGGATTCCTAATTGAGAATCTGCTTCTGTAGTCTTACTCAGGTAAACCTTACAAAGGACTCCTTTATATGGGTATAATCAGATTCTGGGTGGACAGTTTCTAAAGGGGATATTTGGATAAATTATTAGAATCAAATTTTTTTCTCATACGCCATTTGCCAGTGTTTTGACAGATGAAAATTCTGTAAGAATACAGCATTGGCGCAGGGACTGAGATGCTCATTAACCCATAAAAGATATTTTCCTATGGCACCATTCACATACTTGTTCCTACTTTTATCTCAGCGGTAATTTATACAAAGAAAATTTCTGTTGTTGAAGAGTGTTCATTAAACTAATTATTTATAAATAAGTCTTGTGGCTAGAGAAGTGCTTTGGGAAAATTTTGGAACTTTAGAATTATTTAAACTTGTCTTAATTTGAGGGAAAAAAATCACTTTTCCCCCCCTCCATGGTGAATTTTTGGGGGCTTTAAATATACACCCTAATGTAATGCCTTTTACTGAATCCGGCAACCTCCAGAGACATTTTATTTTAGCCTGTCCTTTTGTTGGGCAATGATTAGGTTTTCCATTTCCTATTATAAAGGACTTTTCAAGTTCTATTAGTAATATATTGTATTACTTTTCCATACATAACTAATGCCCCCAACCTGAATATTTTGTAGCTCCTCTTTAAATAAATTGAGAGGTTTTGATCAGGAAGACCGGGTTATTTTGATGTACAGAACACTTTAAGTATGTCTAAAGACTCTGAACTGCTACAGATTTTTTTAATGTTATTGAAAATAAATGTTAATGAAATCACGAATCTGACATATCTTTTTTTTAATATTGTAGATCAAATATCTTCATGTTCTCTGTTACAACTTTGGAGTAGAAACCTACATGCTGAATAAATGTGAAGAAAGTGCTTTCTGGCTGAGGTAATATGAACAAAAATAATGAATATAAATTCAGGAATATTATCATAAAGTTCAGTTAATACTTACTGTAGGGTACTTTGACAGTTTAAACATTCTCTGACTGCCAAAGCTGACATGCTAAATTGATTTACTCTTTTAACATGTATCGTTTATTATTTTTGCATGTTGCCGGTTGATAGAAAAGTGTATTCTATTCTTACTGTAACATAAGAGCATGCTCTCCCTCCATTCCTCCTTTGGTATCTCCATCAAGAATATGGGATTTTTTTCCTTTGCCGTGGCACACATTGCTGTCTGCAAACCCCTAGTTAAATAATTTTGTGTGAAAAATGTATCTTTCTGGAGATGATATATAAGGTGTTTTGAATATCAAGGCATCATGGAGTAAAATATATTAAATCAATTCTTTAAATGATTTCCTGTTCTGAGAGTAGGGTTAGTTTTGGTTATTTGGAGATACTCCCATGATTACTTTAACTATTGTGGAAATGTACATTTGCCTTTAATGAAATAAATACAAATATGGTCATTAAGATTATCGTGCTCACAGACATATATATCTTTAATAAAATATTTATGAATATAACTTGTTTATGTAAAAGACTTCAGTGCTCAAAGATTGATAAGACTCTAGAAAAGAACTATGCCTAACAGAACAGGCTTATGCAGTTATAAGAGCTATACTTGTCTCAATTGAGAATGCAATATACCTGAAAATTTTATTATAAATCATTTTATAAATTGAATTATTTAAAATATACCAAAGGAGATAACTAGTTTAGCATAGGCTTTACAACAAGTTTCCTTTAAATGAACAACAACGTTTTTATAAAGTGAATGATGAGTGAGCTCTGTGTGGCAGTATTTGAGGGTAGAACACTCACAAAGTTAATGGCATCAACATATCAAAAGAGTAGTATGCCAAGAAGACAGGAATGGGAAGGGCAATAAAAACAAAACAAAACACTGGTACATAGATTGCTTCTGGAAGCTTAAGCCTATGGAGGTGAGCTTGAAGTTTATGGCAAGAATGAGGGTGAATGTTCTCTGGGAACTCATCATAAGAGTAGGCTGAGGCTTAAGTGGCATGATATGTAGGTTATTTCCACATATGCCATGGGTTGTTCACCTCTTTCTTAACCTGTCATGATTTTTTAGAAAAACTTACAGAAGGAAAATATGATAGTGACAGGACATGACTGACATCCATACTGTAAGCTAATTATATCAGGTTTTTACTACATATTTAGTGCCTATGTTTTTAGGAATGTAATTTGCCCTGCAGTCATATAGTCATCAAAATCTTTCTAATAACAAATTTATAGAGCACCACTATATTTTGAATCTTTTGTGTTCTTGTCACTAGAATGAGATTGGGGAAAACAGGAAGACCTTGAATTCTAGCCCTAGTTAGTATATACAGTTTTAATCTCTTTGCCTGATTATTTTTCCACATGTTTTGGAGATACATAAATAACTTGCTGAAAGTATTTTCAAATGCCTTGAAAAATTATATATAATGTGTTTAAAAAGAGGCAAACTAATTATCAGTATTATTAACAATAGAAATTTTAGTGGAATGGGTAGTTTTTCTAGTATTAGATCAACTCTCAGTCAAAATTTAATCACCTATGACATCAGTGCGAAATTGACCATTGTGATACCTACCTTTTAGCATTATTTTAGAGCTTCAATGCGATGATGCGTGTATTGTAGTGTTCAATAACGTGTGAGAAGCAGAAACTGCTCAATAAATGGTAGCTGCTGGTGGTATCTCTAGGCAATATGTTTCTTATTTACTGCAAATGGACACTGATGTGGCTAGTTTACTACTTTATTCTAAAATTTATCACATTCAAATCAAACATGGATTACTTGTTGAGTTCCCGGGTAAATCTATCATAAGGATAAACATCCACATCTTCTATCATATGCTGCTAATCTTTGGAACAATTTTTCTTCATGCCTTAATTATCCATGTGTTGAGGAAACTATTGGGAGTGATGCTGATAAAAGCAGGAATGAATAGCTGCTAATTAAGCATCCTTCTCTATAAAGTTTATACCAGAAGGAGGCTGTGGAAAGTGAGTGTACTTCCTACAAACTTAACTCTTTTGAGAACAGTGAATATCTTGAGCGAGAGGTTATATATAATTTGGAGGTATCATCATAGCTGTAGTATATTAGAACTTTGTTGAAATAGAAGAAGCCTAGAACGTAAAGGGTGGTAAATGGGTATGGTTTATAAAGCTCCTGTCTTCCCCCACAGTTGTTGTTAACATATCTCAGTTTTAGACCTTTCTTAGTTTTTGTCTTTTCCCTGCCTTTTCTTTTGCTAAGAAAAGTTCAAGAACAGCTGCTGCTCTCCTTGCTTTTGCCACACTCTTTTGATCACATCCCCTTATTAGAGATATCACAGATTAAGAGAAGGCCGCTGTACTTGTGAATGAAATTGGGAATCCTTTAGTTAACTTTACTGTGGCGTCAAGGTACCTGCCTTGATGTATTCAATGACAAATTCAGTTAGGACTCTATAGAATATAAAATTTCAGGCCTTTGAAATCAGAATGCCAGCTTTGGAAATATGTTTAAGAGGCTTTTTGTTTAATAAATTAATTATTTCTCCTATTTCTTCCCTTTTGTAGTTCTTGCTGTATTGAGCTCCTCTGTTTTCAGGAGGCAAGAATAAGTAATCAGGAAGAGACTGTTGATAATAGCACTTGATTCCACCGTCTAGGGGATTTGTTAGTGGCCTCTCAGTTGCCCTGGTGGAATTTCAATTTAGTGTTTATCATTGGAAGTCTTAACAGATAATTTGGACATACATTATGCTGACCTTGGCTTTTTAGAAAAGGTGTACAGAAATTGTTCTGTAACTAATTAGTATTCTACAAGAAGCACTGTAAACCAAACAAATACAAATAAGTCCAACTCCAAAAGCCTTGGGGTTACACTGATTTACCGCAAAGAATTTGCACATTTTTTCCCCTGGGAGGAAAGTGCCCTAATCCCAAACCTTAGTCATAGTCTTAATCATGGGTGATATATATGTTACTTCTAGTAGTTCTTTTAATTCACCCAACTGTGTTCCTTGGAGCTTCAGGCTGGTAAATACTTGGAAGGCTCACTTTTTTTCCTTTTGCTATAAGAAGACCTATTTTCTAACTATGGCAAATTAAATTTAAGGGAGAACAGTGAAAATGAAAGGCAATACCCATAAGTATATTGAATTAATGTTTAAAACGTCTTTGCTGATTAAATTATGTGCTAATTATAAAAATTTAAATATCACAAAATGCATAATATGGAAAGAAGTCCCCTGTAATCCCACATTCATAAATGCTCAGTATTTAACATTTTACTTTTTATGTTTTAAAATTTTTTTTTGAAAACAATTTCTAAAAGTTCTTTTAATATATTAAATGACAAGGAAACATGAGAATCGTTGAAATGTATTTGGAGGATTTAAGGAGTTGAGGATTTTTCAAAATGGATTGTAAATAAAGAAGATTAATGGAACGAAACCAAGCCAAAGTATATACATAGTAAAATTCCTAATTGGTAATCTCTTGTTATATTAGAGACAGTGAGATAAATTAGGAAAATGACAGAAGATATTTTATTGGGTTGTCGGAAAAGTCATGACGTATTTTTCTCTATGTTTTTCGTTGCAAAAATGCATCATGACTTTTCCAACAACCCAATAATTGGACAAAACCCCGGAGAATTGCATAGAACCCTGAAGGTGTTCTGTAAAAAATAATCTAACATTGATCTTAATAAATTTATATATTTATTCATTCATTTTAAATTTATGTATTTATTACATTTATTGGGGTGACATTGGCTAGTATAATTATATAAGATTCAAGTGTACAATTTAATACATCATCTATATATCACACGGTGTGCTCACTACCCAGTCAGTTATATTCGACCCCTCCTTTACACTCTTCTACCCACCCTTACCCTTTGGTAACCACTAACTGTTGTCTATATCTATGAGTTTTTGTTTATTTGTTTGTTTGTCTTGTACCTTTGATGCCTTCAGTTAATAAATGAAATTTAAATGACCCTACTTCTTTGAGCTACGGGTCAGGGACTGAGTGCTTATAAATTCCTGAAGAGGAGAGTCCTTTTTACGTTAAAAAAAATGAGAGTATTTCTCAACTCCTTGTATGACAGCTCTGGGCTGCCTTTCTTTCCTCAGGATTCAAAGAAAGCATGATTTCTTCAGCATCCTTCTCAGACCATGGTTACAGGTTATATTTTCTTTAAAAACCCCAGCAACCTAAACTTAGTGTTGCTAGATTTTTGGGATGAAAATACATAATTGGGTTGGCAGTCTGTTAGAGAAAGAGTAATTTTTGAGCTCCTTTTCTCACATTATTTTTAATTTCTCTAAAACTAATCTTAACCTGTTTGGGTTGGTAGGTAATGTGAGTTGCTTTCTATTAGTTGGGAATAGTTTTTACCCTGGATGTAGCACCCTCAAGTAGGAAGAGAAATGTGTGTCCTTCCTGCTTCTGTAAAACTTTTTGAATTTCTTATGATATCAGAAGAGAAGAATTCAGCAAAAATTATACTGTCATTTTCTAAATTCATAGTGCTTAGAGGTAGTGAACCCAGATTAGGTAATTTCTGCACTGGATTTAAAAAATAGCTCTTATGTTTGCAATTAGGAGAGCATTTATTTATCAATATTTATTTGTTAATATTTAGCCTTTACTATGGTAATATAGGAAAATATGTCACCAGACGTCTTCTAATAAGAAGTAAAGGAAAGAACAAAGGAAATACAAATGTACTTATATGCACAAGCATTAATGCTTCAATATATGGGCCCAAAGGAAGTTTGTATCCGTTTAATGCTAGTTAATGTTCATTTCTTTATTTTCCCTTCTGTTCTTACCCTGAGACCTTGAGAATTTGACAACATTATGGATAGTCAGGCAGTGTGATTTAGGGAAAGATTACAGAGCTAGCAATAGAAAATCTGT